TAAAAACAAATTACAAAAAAGTGAAGGTTATGCCAACAGATTGTAAAAAAAAGTTTCAATTTTCAACTCAGTTTTTGTGCGTAAATATGTATGAGTCTTCTTCCTCTTACCTTGAATGTAATCAACAAAGTTTAAATAAAATAAAAGATACGCGGAAGTTTTAAGGATCATAATGCTTTATTTGTAACGCAAAGATAATAAAATCATAAATAAAGGGCTACAATGTAAAATATGATAATTTACAAAAGTTGGAACATAAATTCACCTGTACATTTTAAAATCAGCATCTTAGGTCTCAAATCGAATAAGATTTAAAGACAATGGGTTTGTCTGCCGCAACTCGAAGCTATTGTAACCCGTCTCTAATATTTTCAAATTCGAGAAGTTTATTGTTATACGGCTGTTAATCTCTTAATGGTTTAACAATAATTGCCAAATTTCAAATATTTCTCTCACAAAATTATACTGCAGTAAAGAAAAGTTAAAATCTTAAAGAATAATATAACATACAATTCACGATTTTTGTACAAATTTTAGGAATATTGACTGTTCTAGTTAAAATGCACTCATCAAATTCTCGATTTCTAAATATGTATTTAATATAAATTTTTATTTTTATGAAAAAGTGACAAATAATAATTATCGGTAAATGTTTTGCATTAATTTTGTTTCTAAAATATTTAAATTTTAAACAATAATCCGTTCGAGGGGGTGTGCCAACGTCTCCTATAACTGGAAGCCTCCACACGGTTTCTCTTAAGTAGTCTGATCTGACCATTATGAAGGTAAACCAGTTTACGAAAGAGCCATTTAATACAAAATCTAGTAAGAATAAGAAAGTGGTAGCTAATATATGTCTAAAAATTTGTTTAATTTATGAATATAATTGATTTGTTTTATTTACTTGTCAACCAATACAGATTCCGTTCTCAAATATATATGATAAATTTCTCTCCAGTACTTTTAAAATAGAATTAGGGTTCATGTGCACAACTGGTTCACTTTTTAAACAGTGTGCGCAAACTTCTTTCTGATGTAGGAAGTGATATCTAGAAATACTGCACTATTTGTTGGGGTGCACCCACACTTAATTTTTTTTTTAAATGACAGAATTAAAAGATAATGAAAAAAAAAATCTGAAATTTTGAATTGGGCATTTTAGTTTTTAACGCGCCAAACCTATGACAAAAAATTATGAAGCGGGAATTTCTAATTTTGGCAATCACTTTTGAAGCTTTTAAGTTGTGTCCATTTCATAGTTAATTCAAGTAACTGGTCGATCACGTTTTCAGAGATTATCGTCGGATTTCAGCGTATTTCTCAAAATCCCAGTCTTTTTCACAAGATATTATGACAAACAACTCGCGACTTTCGAATCGTGCAAATCGCAATCACGTGTAACTTGCTTTAATTGTGTCAAGTTTATCGTTAATCCAAGTGGCTATTTTTCTATCGTTAAGCACTTTATTACAACGCGTTTCCATATGTGGTTTTGAAATTATCGATATTTTTAAAATAGATTAAAATGACATTCGAATCGTGCATTTATATTTGTGTTTTATTTGTGTCTATTGTAAATCTAAGAGATTTTTTTTATCGTTCTTACACCAGTTATTGTTAAGCTTTTTTTTTTCTTTCAAAAAGCCTGATAATTCTAATCCGGTATTATAACGACTAGAAATATTCGGAACAGGCATTTTATTCACGTACTTTATTTGTGCCGATTCCATCGGCAATCCATGTTATTTTTAAATTGTTTCACTTATTTATTTTTATTTTATTTATTTATTTTAGTTTTATTTATTAATTTTTTTGCAGTTGTTACTGCTGATTTTTTGCTGGTTTTTTTTAAATATTGGTATTTTTAATGCCATATTATTACAAAACGCGAAATTCAAAGCTGGGTTTTTAAACTGATTATGGTTTTTGATCTTTGTTTCGAATTTCTTGTAGCTTAAAAAAGTGCTAAAAATACTATTTTAAGATTTAACATTCATAAAATCTCTTATAATTCACTAAATATAAATTCCTGTTACAATAAAAGTTAAAAATGTACTGAACTGAATACGAACTGAATGTTGAATCTTATTTGAAGCTAAAAAGCGTTTGTTTCATTTGAAATCAATCATTTTAGACCTAATACAATTTATTTAATTCAAATATGTAATTTGCATTTATCTTGCTCTATAAAATATATTTATCTATATTTTATTTTTTACTTTCATTCAAGAACATTACAGTTAATTTATTTTAAATAACAATTTTTTTGCTACATTGTGTAATAAAAAAAACATCACTTTTTCCAAATATTTCTGTTTTTTTTCTTCAGGTAAATCTATTTTTTGACAAAATTGAGATATTTTTATTTTGAAAAGTATCAGTTTGGTATTTTTCAGTCTTATATGAGTTTAAATTTTTAAAAAAATTAAATTTTATGCAAATATATTACTAAATTGACTGATAAAAAGTATTGTGTCTGAAACACAGATGATTATATTAAAATTACCATAATTTCCGCCAACATGTCTGAATAAAGTAGACCTTCATTTAAAAAACTTGCTTTATCTAAATCCCGACTTTCCATCGAAATTATTAATTCTTTATAAATAATTATTAAAATAAAATTAAAATAAAATGTTTTTTTTTTCAAAAAAGAATTTACACGGTGATTCTGTTTTATATTATAACTTTAAAAAATGTGTGTTTACTTTAAAAAATTTGTGTTAACTTTAAAAAATTTGTGTTTATAATAGCGCCCTATAAACCTTATAAACGCTCTTATAAACCTTGCGAGTGGGGGGAGGGGGTTCGCACATAAATCTGTGTTCGCTACTGCAACTGATTCAATCTAACAAAAAAAAAAAAGAAAAAAGAAAAAAAAAAGAAGCAAACTGTGATAAAACAATCTTAGAAACCAGTTATAATACTGATTTTATTGTGATCTGCAGCGCTGACGCAAAGGTTGAAAAAAACGGGACATTGATCCAGGGTATAGAGCAAAATTGAAAATTTTGTTACTAGCCAATGAGCTGTTGTATCATTTTTGACAATGGCCACTTCTCAAAACACGTGGTCTCCTTTTTTAAGAACAGAGCATTTTAAACGAAAAAAAAAACTGTTGATATTAATAATATAAAGCATTTCCCGAAATACAGTAAACGCTACAAGATTTAGTTTTAAAATGGAGAAAATTTTAAAAATCAAGCGTTAAATAAAGTCATATTTACATATTATAAAATATTTTACTAAATCCATATTTATTTCCTTTTTTTTTTCAAATAAAATTCACTAGGTATGTATTTTAGACGAAATATGTGGCGACTTTCAGACAATTTTTTAATCGCCATTTATTACATTTAGTCGCCCTGTGGCTGGTTATAATTATCGGGGATTAATTGATTAAGTAATGGAAAGGGAGAAAACGTCAGGATTTGTAGCTCTGGATATTAATAACTTTTGATAATAAGTCTTAACACAAAAATTAAATTTTTTTTAAAGAAAATAATTAGAAAATATAGTTATATTTGTTTGAAATTGTTGAAGAAATTGTGCCTATGTAAGTGGGAACTTTATTTAATACTCTAACGGTTACCCTAAAAAACCCTAGAAGGCTTTGCTTATACCAGGTTTACGGAAAATAATTAACTTATTACTGACACAAATATTAAAAATTCAAAAGATATGTTGTAAATTGTGCAAGTACATGGAGAAAAAGTTTCAAATTAAAGTTTTTGGAATCAAAGAAGCATTTATAATTAATTAGATACCGTTTAACCGGTGCTATAACGTGTTGGCGACAACTCGGAAAAACAGTCGCCAACATATAAATCCTATAACCGATAAGTACCGTTTCACCTTTTTAATGTGAACGCAATTCTTGTCTTAGGAGCGAATAACAAAATTTTTACACAAATAATGTTGTAACCATATATCAGTTTTTCAATTTCATAATTATAAATAATTAGTGACTTGTAATATATTTGGCAAATAATTTGGTAAAAATTTAATTTTTTTATGAAAAATAAAATTTTATTTTGATTAAAAAATGCTTAAGTAAATTTCTTTAAAAAATATGAATGTAAAATCGATTCCATGAGTCGATTATTTTTGATGTAACTTAAAAATCTATCTGCATGCTAAAGCAGTAAAGCAATAAATATGGTAAATGTATACTTTTTCATTTTTGATTAATGTAATATTATTAATGTAATACTTTTCGACAGTCTATAAAACCACTATCATTTTGGTAACTTTTGAAAATGAAAATACCTAAAAAAAATTTATGCAATAGTACTCATACTAAATTATTTATAATTATAAATAATTGCAATCATATTTATAATTATAATTATTGGTTAAAAAAATTGTTTTAATCAAATTTAATATTTGTACTCATGTAAAAGATACGATAACATAAAAATAAATTATCAAAAATTATTGTACGCACATTCAACAACAATTCTTCGATCCAAATAAATATCTTATTTAATAATACAAAACGCAAAATTTGTATACTTGATTATAAAATCTGGCAGTACTAAACTTAATGACACGATTAAATACTTTACGTTATATATATCTAAAATATGAACCAAAATAAACCTAAAAATTATGTATTTTTAATTACATTTATTTATTTATAATTTTTTTGTTTAATCATGCTTATAATTAAAATTAACTATTATTAAAAAACAACATTTATTATTATAATTTCTACTAGGAATAATGTAAAGGCTGTGGAAGCGTAGTCACATAGTCAATTACATTTCTCCGATTCAATATAGCTTCCTTACATTCCACGAAAGTTACAAATGAGGAGATGGCAACGTGAAATAAAATATCCGTACTTATTTACGAAAACTGGCAACGCTAAGCATAATTTAGTAGTAGTACACAAAATGCAATCAATCCAGTGTCCAGAATAAATTTTTATACAGTATAAAAGCCCTTTAAAATTTAATTTCAAAATAAAATACTAATAAGATAAAAAATGCACTCACCTCGGAAACAAATAGATTAAAAATCTGCCCCTGCCTTAGCCGGCGTAATTTCGGAAAGGACTGCACCAGGGACAGATAAAAGCGAATGAATTTCAGATAACATTATATTCTATACGCAAATGATAATATTATCTCACGAATTTCGAATCAAGACACGGTGTTTGCAAAACCACTATTGTTCCTTTTCGCACTTTTCAGCCGATGAGAATGAAGTTTTCTGAATGAACCAGCCGACACGAGGAAAAAAAAGAAAAAGAAAAGAGCGAACACCAGCCTTTTCTAGAATGGTTGGAAAAATTCTCTTTTACTCTCTCTCTCCTCTCGCAAGCTCCAATCTCTCTCTCTCTCTTTTTTTCTTCTATTTTCCCTCTAACCAAATTCTATAGGTCACTGGGAATTTAGTATGACATGAATATCATATTTCTACCTGGCGGCGTCCAATCGAACTAAAATACGAGAAGTTTTCTATTAAGTTGGGTCATTGATTAAAAAAAAGAAGAAAAAAAATTATCTCTAGGGGTCAGCGGATCATTAAAATTGTAAAAATGATTTTTTTCTTTCATTATTAATATTTAATTGTGTATATGCTGAAAACTTAATTATTTTTGTGCAAACTAAAGATGTCAAAGATATTTAATGTGTAAAATTTCATAAAAATATATTGAAAATTTAGTGAGATAATCTTTAATTAAAAATAGCACCGTGCGCAACAATTTTTTTAAAAATAATTTTAAATATTAAAATGCTTTGATCACAAATTATGTTTAAGCGTGAATGTTGCATGAAATTATCTTATTAAATCAGAATTTTTTTTTTTTTAAATTTTAGGAAAGTTTTAAATTTAATTGTTTATCTTTGTTAATACATATTTTAAAAACCTTTTTTAGTAACATTAGTTTTAACAAAAATTGGTGTTACTAATGTAAAAAAAAAAAGTAACTTTGTTCAAAAATTGAAACTATTTTAAACATTTTGCAGTGTTAAAGGTTCTTTTTTAATTGGATATGCTTAGCTAGGTTTCTTAAATCGTTATCTTCGTCATTAATTTAAAAAAAATTATTTTATTAATTAATTGTTATTAAATTATTATTATTAAAATTTAATTATTTTGTACATGTGTGGCTAACAAATAAAAAAATAGATTTCATGCATCAAAATTTAAAGAAAAAAACGAAATTTGTTTTATAGATTTACAATCTCTTTAAAAAGTATCGATTTTCGTACAAGAAATTTGTTTCATATCTTAACTTAATTAAGTGTAATTAAAAGCATTTGAATAAGTATTTTTATTATTCAAATTTTATTAAAGACAAAATATTCTCAAAATATAGTTAATTAATTTCGATTGTTATGCATCATCAAACATAACTGATTATTAACTAATACAACATTCATAACGTAAGAAAATAGTTAAAGTTCTTTTTTTTTTTTCGTAACAAAATTTGATAACTGCAGTGTTGGCACGGGCGACTAAATAAGTGATGACTAAGAATATTCAAAATTTTTTAAAACAAGATAAAAATTGGCAACTTTTCAAGCTTTTTTAGGACGAAGGTATGTAACATAATAAGCTCAGGTAAATTTTTCCTCTGGTCTCTGGTGGTATTGAGTGGTAGATTGTTCGTTCTCTGGTTCAGGTCAAAATTATGATCTATGGATGAATGAATGGGTCCGTCTTATAAACGGGCTGAGACGTGCGTGTTTATGAAGTCGTATTCTTGGCCATAGATGATGCCACTGTAAAAACAAGAAATGCGCCCTCAGCCTTAAATTTGCTTAGTTTCACCAAGCATGCCTGCTGATATTGTCAAGTCGCATTAGAAACAACAACATAAGCTCAGGTTCTGTCATGCGGGTTTCCAAAATGGAGTTCAATCCAATAATAAGACTCTTAAATTTCTCACAANGTAAGTAACATAATAAGCTCAGGTAAATTTTTCCTCTGGTCTCTGGTGGTACTGAGTGGTAGATTGTTCGTTCCCTGGTTCAGGTCCGTCTTATAAACGGGCTGAGATGCGAGTGTATATGAGGTCGTATTCTTGGCCATAGATGATGCCACTGTAAAAACAAGAAATGCGCCCTCAGCCTTAAATTTGCTTAGTTTCACCAAGCATGCCTGCTGATATTGTCAAGTCGCATTAGAAACAACAACATAAGCTCAGGTTCTGTCATGCGGGTTTCCAAAATGGAGTTCAATCCAATAATAAGACTCTTAAATTTCTCACAATTCTTAAGAGTACCCGTGAGAGAAACTGTTCATGGCAAATTCTCTTTCAGCTCCATTGATAGTTCAAAATTTCAAATTTAGAAAAAAGTGAATTCAGGTAAACACAGAGTAAGCCACAAAGTTTAAAATGCTGGATAAATGTTATCAAAATGGAAACAAATTATTGCACTGTAACTTAGACGCCGCGTTATCCTAAGCAATCCTGTCACATTTTGTTTACATTTACATATGTTGAAGAAACAAAATAAAAGAACCTTTTTTTCTGCATTTCAAACTTCTTAATTTTAGGCTTATCTGAATTCACTTTTCTCTAAATTTTTGTTACTTATGCCACTACCAGCAGCCTCCTTGAAATCAAATGAATTTTTAAGGCAGAGAGGGTGCTTTTCGTGTTTTTCAGCGGAGCCAATGGCTAATAATATGACTTAAGCCACACACACGTCACACCCCGTTTTACACAGGGGACCCAATCAAACTACATTCATTCATACACAGACCGTAATTTGGACCTGAACCAGAAAAAGATCAATCTACTATTTAGGGCCCCTAAAGGTATTTTATTTTATTTTATAACCGCCGTTGTACAGCCGACCCAATTTTGAGTTTGCAACAACTAATGTTCTACTCCGTAGCCTTTGAATTTTGAACTCAGTCCAGAAAACAAAAGGAACTCCTGGATCGAGTATTTAGACAAATGTGCCTTCTTGGAAGACTTTTTGAGGGAATTAACCAGAGTTACATGTAGGGGAAAGTAAGAAAATCTACCACAGTTACCCTGATGACAAGGGATCTCTAACCCATGATCCGTCTACCACTAAGGATATTTTACGTCAGCACTATAGTCGGTGCGAGCAGGATGCGGATTTCATATCGGCCAGTCATAGCTGGGATTCGAACCCTGTTCACCTCATTGGAAGGTGAACGCTTTATCTCATCTCCAGAGCCATCAGGTTTCTAATGGGAATTTGTGACTGACAGATTTAACAGTCTCCATTTAATATAGGAATATTCTCCGATCAACAGGATTCGAATTCTAGTTCTCACGAACACGAGTCCAACATCCTACCAACTAGACTATCACGGCGTTCTCTAAATTTCAAATTATTTATGCAGATAATTGCCATGAAGAATATCTCTCGTGATGTAGCGTTCAAAGTTTAAGAATGTTGTTTAGTCGATCTTTATTAATATTGAAATGTTATTTTACAAAAATATCACACCGTCCAATGAAGAAACCTCTATGTGACGCGAGGGCGACTATCTTGGTTTGAAAAGTTTTGCATGAATAACATATCCTTTTCTCTGCTGAAGTATTAAAGAATATTACAAAAAAAAAAAAAGTATAGTCCCAAATTTTTATTTTACTGCCATAAGTTATAATAAGATAAACGAAATAGGAATTATACTGCCATGAAGCTAATAATTTTAGGCATACATACGTGGACCTCAGTAAAAGAGTATAAATATTTCGAATGTTAAGTTCTACTTAAAGTAAGAACAAGCATGCATATTGTTATATTATGGACTATTTAAATATAATGATGAATAGATATAATAATTATTTAGAATATTTTTTTTTTAAATTTCGAAGTTTTTTTTAAAAATGAAACGCAATACTAGATGCAATACCAGGGCCTAATTGGATGAAATCTCAGTTTCCAAACTATTTTAACCAGACAAACCACGCAAAATAAATAATTATTGAAAAGAATCAAACATTAACTGAAAGAAGAAAAAAAAACTAAACTCAGTGGCACGACAGCCCATAGAGGGCCAAGGCCTACTGTGCCCATCTCACTTTTCTTGACCTTGGACTCTGGGGTGCAGGAGCAGATGTTCCAGTCAAGTGGTCAGCCGAACGCTGTACCCCCAGTGTTTGGTTACCAAGCATGCTTGGTACTCATTTATCGACCCACTGAAGGGATGAAAGGCTGAGTTTCTTGCCCGGCCCGAGGATCGAACCCAGTACCTGTGGCATGGGAGCGCGAAGCGCTACCATTCAGCCACCGGGAGTCTCAAAGATTATCAATAAAAAATAATAATACTCGAGGGTAAAATTTCATAATTATAAAAAACACACACACACAAAAAGTAAAACTCATTAGATATATGTATGTACCTTAATGTAAAACAATTAATTAAAATACACATAAAAATATATCTAAATAGATATAAAATTGAATACTCATAATATTATGAGATTTCAGTTCACTACTACGCTGTTATAAATCATACCATGGTACATGTATGTGGACCTGCATGTTCTTGACTGTATTATTTTTAAAAATAAATATAAATTCAAAAGCTTCATATTGATCCTAGAACTTCTAAGTCAAAAGAAAAAAACTTATTTTCTGAATAACTAAATTATATAATATTTAAAATTAGTTATACTTTCGAGCACATGGATTTGGTGTCATTTTTCGAAAATCACATCTGTTTATGCGGAACTCTACTCAAATAACTTACACATTCTTCGTCGATTGCGGAATCCCCAGAAAGCATAAATATCCACGAATTTGTCTCAGTGAAGGTAAAACTATAAATTTTCTAATAGCGTGTTTTAAGAAGTGAAGGTTCACATATTTGGACCGAGGTAATGAAGAAGTTATTGGTAAATAAAAAATAGAATGAGAAAACAGTTTTGATACCCCTTTTAAAAGAAATCTATGATAGTGGAAAGCATTTATGAAATTCAGTTATTATTCCAACACGAGAATCCTTATTCACAAATGCAGATATAGTACATTCTCAGAGATCGCAGTGTCTTGGGAAGCATTTGAAATGGTAGTCAATTTATTTTAACTACCAGGAATATTGGCAATTTAATGAAAAATATGCAATTATAAAATTGCGAACGGTGATATTTTAAAAATAAACCAAAAATTAAAAATGAAATATTTTATTAACTTCAAACTAAATTAAAACGCATGCTTGTTAGTTCAAAGTAAATTTGTGTCTACTTTTTATTTTTTTATTGAGATCAAAGCACGTGG